CTCACATCTGGGAAAAGTCATGGAGGTCTCTCTCCCCAGTTATCTCCTCTGTTTCATCAACTCATATACCTTACATTTATTTACATTTGCTAATGTAGTACAAAAACTTCTTTTTCCTAGTCTTCTGCTACTTTGGCAAGTGGAAGTGACTTATTTTATGGCTGAGTACTAGAGAAGAACTAGAAGAGAGGGAAAAGGTACAGAATGGATACAGGATGAGGAGCACCCACTGAGTGTGGACAGAATCTTAGACTATTTAAGCTTTCTGGTGTGCATGTGAAACTAGAAGTTTTCAAAGGCTTCTAACTTGACATTGCAGCTGGCTTGGTCATGCCTGTTCTTGCAGTTCTGTACTCCACTGTGATGGGATATGTCATGATATGTGGTATTTTCAGCTTAAGCATTATTCAAAAATATCTTCATGATTTGCCAATGCTTCTGAGTTTCATTTCCTTCCTAAAAAATGTATGGCATTGCTGGAGCTAGTTAAAGGAATGTGATAAAAAAATTGTTTCCTTTATTCTTGGAAAGAGCTGAACTATTTTGACTGAAATGAGGCCTCTTCTCTCTCATAACCCCTCAAAAATAGCAAATCTGCACGTAGTATATCAGCAGAAGCTTTATCTCTTATGGGGAATAAACAAGGAGTTAGAGACACACATGTGCCTGCAGGGCTGTGATCTTCTTGTCTCAGTGGAGATGTGGTGGGATGGTTCCTGGGCTGAAGTGCTGGAATGGAACGATACACGTTCTTAAGGAAGGACAGGCAGATGAGGAGACGGTGTCACCTTCTCTGTCCGTGACCATCTGGGGTGCACAGTGCTCTGCCTCACATGGGTGAGGAGCTGACAGACAGGACATGGGTCAGGGTTAAAGGGAGGGCAGGGACAGAGGATAGGGGACATTGCAGTGGAGGTCTGCTACAGGCCACCTGACCAGGAGGGCTGAGCAGATGAGACTCTCTACAGACAGATATGAGCAGCCTTGTGCTCATAAACCCTGGTGTTCATATGAGTCTTCAACCTTGCCAGTATCTGTTGGAGGGGCAACAAAGCTGAGCATAGGCAATCCAAGAGATTTTTGGAATGTGATAGTGGTGACTTCTTTCTCTAAGTGACAGTGGAGTCAATGAGGAGAAGTGCTGTGATGGACTGTGTTGTCACCAGCAAGGAAGGGTTAGTGGAAAGGTGAAGCTCAGGGGTAATCTTGGCTGCCATGACTGTGAAATGCTGGAATTTGATGTCCTTAGGGCAGCAAGGACAATAGGCTCATTATCCTGGAGTGGAGCAGACTTCAGCCTCTTCAAGAACCTGCTTGGTAGAATACCATAGGATAAAGATCTGGAGGGAAGAGAGGCCAAGAGAGCTGGATCATCATTCTAAGATCATCTTCCTCAAGCTCAGGATTGATGCATTCCAACAAAGAAGTTGGTCAGAAACACTGGGAGGGCTGCTTGGATGAGCTCAAACACATAAAGTAGGTGTGTACAGGGTGGAAGCAGGGACAGGTAGCCTGGGAGGAATACAAAGAGCAGTCAGGGATCTGGTTAAGAAAGCTAAAATTCCTGATAGAATTAAATCTGGTCAGAGACATCAAGGGCAATGAGAAAAGTTTCTGGTGTTGTGCTGGTACAGAAAACTTGGAACAACTGCTTTTTTTTTTTTATTGCAATCAATAGTGTAATTAATTTTTACTTCTTTGAGAACAAGAACATACACCCTACATGAATAAGTAGTAATATATTCTCTTTATTTACTGGCTTTGTTTCTTGCTAGTACACATCTTGAAACTGCTGTATTTTAGGAGTACATCGCTGGGCAAACTCCTCCTCATTTTTGTTTGTATCCCACGTCCTTTTCATTTTTTTTCCTGTTTTTTACTATCATAGCCTTAAAATATATAAAATTCTTCCCAAGACAAACTTAAAATAATATTTAAGTTGATTTCTGACAGGAAACCAAGCTTAATGCATTGTTTTTACCATGTTTTCCTCTTTTAGATTACTGTAAAGTTTAATTTTTCTGGAAATCTAAGTTTTTGTGGGAAGAACAATAATACAGGGCATAGCCCCTACTGCCTCTATGACACTTAGATCTCTGTCCAGTGACCTGGTGCACTCCTGCTTCCTGCATTATCTGAACCTGTGAGAGGATGAGATCCTTCACACAGCTACTGCTGTGCCTGTTTTAGGGAGATAGTACTTGCCTCCCACCTGGGGCCCTCCTGAGACACAGGTTTGATGGAGAGCTGAAATTCCAGACAAATCTGAAAACCTAATGTGAAAATGGATCCAGCTAGCTGCAAAACACTAATGCCCAGCTGTTGTTTATGAGCATAGTAATTAGACCTACTTGTCCAGGAAGTAGGAATACTGAGCTCTAGGCCCTCATGTGGTGAAGGGGGCACCTCTATTTTTTACAGGCAAATCTTCCACTTACTAGCCAAAGGAGTAGTGTGGGTTGCCATTCATGCTGGAGTTGGGTCACTTTACAGGTGGGTTCTTACAGATAAGTTGATGAAGTGTGGGCTGGATGAGCAGTGAGGTGAATTGAAAACTGGCTTAAAAAATGGACCCACAGGGTGGTGATCAGTGGTGAAGTCCATCTGGAGGCCAGTCACTGGTGATGTACCCCAGTGGGCAATACTGGATCCAGTCTTGTTCAACATGCTCATTAATGTTGTGTGTTAGAATGCTCTGACAGAGCCTCCCTTCAGTGAGTTTGCTGATGACAGCAAAACTGGAAGGAGTGACTAATTAGCTGGAAAGTTCAGCTACTGTCCACAGTGACCTTGCTGGAGAAATGGGCTGGCAGGGACTACATGAAGTTCCGTAAGGAGAAGTGCCAAATCCTTTATCTGGGAAGGTACAACCCCAGACAGCAGTACAGGGGCCTGGCCAGGTGGAGGGCAGCTTTGCAGAAAATGCTCTGGCGGTCCCTGACACCCAGTAGAGCATGAGCCAGCAATGTGCCCTTGTGACAAAGAATGCTGATTTCCTGAACTGTGTTAGGACTGAAACCAACAGGTCAAGTGAGGTGATCCCGTCCCTCTGTTCAGCACTGCTGAGCCCATGCTTTAGTCCAGTTCTGGACTCCCGATAGCAAGAGAGACATGGACATACCAGAGAGAGTTTGGGGAACAGCTGCAATGACCATTAATGCATTGGAGCATCTGCCATATGGAAGCTGGAACTATTCAGCTTGGAGAAGAGAAAGCTCAGAGGATGCCGCGCTTCCTCGTCCCCAGGTGCCCTTGGATCTTCAACTCTAGCCCCGGCTAGCTCAACCCTGGGGCGAGTAACGGGCAGAGAGGCGCCTCCCGCTGCTCCCTTAACAGGGGTTTGGGAGGCGTCCTGTGGGTCCGGATTTAGTCGCTGGCGAGGCCTCGGCAAGGATGGAAAAGCCGGAACCAGCTTGGGGTAAAAACCTTCTTTATTAATGGGCCAACGTGGCCAAACGTGGAGAAGTAACACCAACAAGCTGGAACCCTGAGTGGGGTTTGGAACAGACTTTTATGGGGTATGGGAAGGGAATGGGAGTGGTGGATCATGAGGGAGGAACTAATGGGAAGCTGGGAAGGGAGTGGCTCCAAGGTGGGGTGATTCTGCCCGGTCCAATGGGGAAGGGGCATGGGAGTGGCCCCAGGCCCTCGTCCAATCACTCGGTGCCCTGAGGAGAAGTTTCTGGATAGGGGGGAAGGAACACCGAGTGACGGACAAGGCACCTGGGAGGGGACAGGGGAGTGACACAGCACTCTTAGGCTGGATTGACAGGGGCTGGCAAGGCGGGAAAGGAGGACCAGGCGGGAAAACAGAACAGAAGGATGTACCAACTCAACAATAGGGGGGAAACAGGGACAAACCATTGGGGAAATACAAATATATAAAACCGTACATAAAATATATAAAAAACACACCACCACAAGAGGAGGTCTCATCAGTACCTGAAGAGAGGGTGCAAAGAGCCAGAATCCTCCTGGACCAGAGGCAGTGGGCACAAGCTGAAACACAGGAGGTTCCTTCTGAACATCAAGAAATACTTTTTTTGCTGTGAGAGTGAGTGAGTACTGGAGCAGGTTACGCAGGGAATTTGTGAACCCTCCATCAAGGGAGATCTTCAAAAGCTGTCTGGACATAGTCCTGGGGAGGTGGCCCTAGGAGGCCCTGTGTAAGTTTGGATCAAATAGTCTGTAGGGGTCCCTTCAAGACAAACATTCTGTGATTCTTTAAGTGCTAAAAGCAGCACTTGAGGCAAGGAGAGTGTTGGATTTTTGTAATCTTTTCATATGGAACTCTAGATTCTTGAAGGAACCTTGTCCTTTTGCAAGAAATCCATCTACTACTTTGCTTTCCTCCTCCTTAACCTGTCTGAAGTTCACAGTAGTTCAGTAGTTCTTTTCTTCAAAAAGAAAGGCAAAGAGAGGTGCCTTCCTTTATCTTGGCAGACTGCACTCAGGTCTGCTGCCAGGGGCAAACTGGGAAAAATCCAATATGAATTCACCCTCTTTTGGATCAAAGGTGACCTGGACTGTTGTCCCCTTCCTGAACAATTTCTTTACTAGGTGGTGATGAACAAGATAGGCAGATCATTCCTTCTCCTGCAAGAGCCTTCATTTTCAGAAGAATTCACTAGATAAATCTGCTTAGAAAAGACTAGGCAGGCTGAATGTCAAGTGAATGGAGATATATTGCTTACCAGTTACTTACATGATCCTTGGAAGATTAAACACATGCGTGGATTGGATTGCCCTCAGCAGTGTTTTAGGCACACTTATCTTTCTATTTTCTATCAGAAATGTATGCAGTTTGTCTTAGTAAAACTGCATCAAATTTCTCCGTTGTTCAGGAAAGCAACCCTTCAAAAAAGCAATACTTAATTTGAATACAAGTGAGGAAAGCTGAATAACATTATTAACTCTGACACAAATGCTAACAAAGTATTAAAAGGGCATCTTTAATATTAAAAATTAAAAATGTAATTTTAATTTTTATTTTATGACAGCATTTTCTGGCCATACTTATTGAGAAGGAAATGTTCAGAAATTTGATTTGGATGTTTGTCCTGTCCTGCAGCTCTGTGGCAGGTATGTTTCTGGATTATTAGCATGTGTCTTGCTATAAGAAAAGGTAATATTCTCCAAATGAAATTTTGAAGAGTTCTGAAATATATTGCAGCTTATTGTAAATTTTAGCCTTACTGGTTTAACATATTTTTGGATATCATAAGTAGTAATGATAAACGCATGTAAATTACATGCATATTTTTTACAGATACAAGTGTTTTAGAAAAACAGGCTTAAAGTACAAGACTTTATTTTCTTCATTTAGGGCCACTAAAAAAGTATCTGAGTGGAAACTTCCTCATTATTTCTGTGAAGTTGTTGAAATATCACTTTAATGTTAAACCTATTGTAATACAATAATTAATGTGAACTGCATTTTAAACAGGAATGTCTGATTTGAATAACTAACTGGGCATTTTATTTGAATTCTGTATGAAAAAATTAATTAAATTATCTGTAGACAACAAAACAACTTACCACTTTTCCACTGGTATTTTAAGAGGAATATGGCTATGTGATGTCTTTGATTTTATTTTTAGATGAAAACTCTATCAGAGGTGCTGACATTTTCCCTTCATCTCCTGAAATTGAAAGAGGATCCTCCCTGGAACTATCCTGTGTTCTTAGAAAGAGCTACATGCCACAGAGAAATGCAAGCCACATCATCTGGAAATTGAATGATGAATTGATTGCTCCAGAAAACTATAACATTGTGAATGAGACTGTATGTAATATAACCATCCATAATTTCACTTACAGCACAGCTTATGTGAAATGTTTCATGAAGTACTTGGACAAGGAACTACCTTTAGTTCACACAGAAGTTAAATCTGGCTGTAAGTAGAAAGGCAGAAAAAAAATATTTTTTTAACAATTTACTATAATAATTTTACTTTTAAAACAGCTAGTTTTGGTTGTGTTATTTTAAAACACATGTATTTAAGTATATATATACACATACATATATATGCACTCATATGGGGTTTTTTTCCTGAAAAAAAACCATGAAATTACCAACATTCCTTACTGATACAAGTCTGTAACATTTTTGACCCTGACTATTGTCCAGCTGAAGTTTTCTGTTGAGTTCCAAAAGTAGTGGGTCTGTTCCTCTGTTCCTTCTTTCTAATCTAGGCAACTTCAGCTTTTTCCAGAGAGGATTTCCTTTCTAATCCTCTCTTCTAAAGAAATTGTAATTACACTTTCTTATGCAGAACACTAAAATATGTATATGAATTCTCTAATTTATTGAACAGATTAAGTCCAGAGTATATGAACATATGCCTGGGGGTCCCATTCTAATAAAGAAGCAATAAAACCAAAACATCTGTGGAAAAAAATCCAGCAAAAGGTCTTGCATGTCTGCAAAGCTTAATGTGCTGTAAGCTTGTTGATAAAAGAAAGATCTTTTGACAGTTCTATTAGATGGGACAGAAAAATACTGTTTTGAAAAGAGGGCTTTGTGAACCAGTTGATTTCACTGGACACAGTTCTCTTCTACTCCAGTTTCTTCTAACAGTGAAGAAATTGAGCAGTAACAAAAAAGTCGTACAAAGTGTTACATTTTTATGGATGACTTCAGACTATAGAGATTGCAGAAGATTGCTTCCTTTGTGCTATCTTGCTTGTAAGATAAAGAGAAATTAGTAATTAGTAATCTCTTTGGGTCACACAGATCTGTTTCCCAGGAACTTGTCCTCTGCACTCTTTAGGCTGTGCATGTTTTTCAGATTTGGGTTTTTCATAGAGTAAACAATTAGATATTCTGGGAGAGAACCAAAAAGAGAAAAGAGTTCTGTCTGTCAGAGAATGTAGTTTGTTTTATTTTTTGTTTTTGTTTTTGTTTTTGTTTTTTTTTGGGAGGGGTGCTTTTGCTGTTTTTTTGTTTTCCTCTTACTTTCTGGACTCACCTTAAACTACAGGTGTGTTGCAGAGGGGAGATAGGGTGTGCGTACGCTTAGATGTTCAAGACAGTGTATGCAATGGTTTGATATATGATAGTTAGAGTTACTGCCTTTAGGCACACTTAGTAAAGTATTTCTGAGAAATAGAGAAAATCTTGCTGTCTCCTCAGGGTAAGAAAGAGGGGTTTTGACTTTTGTTTTGTGAGGAGTTCTGAGGGCAGTGAGGGATGATAAAATGAGCCGCTATGAGGACACTGAATAAGGTTTGCTTTAATTGCTTTTTGACCAACAAAATCAGGTGTACATAAAGTTACTTATTTTTACTGGATTTTTTTTTAACCTTTGTCACTGTAGTTCGTCCAGACATGCCAGAAAATATTTCCTGCATTTATTTCTATGATGTTAACCTTACTTGTACCTGGAATGCAGGAAGAGAAACAAGTTTTACAACAAACTATACTCTTTACCGAAAACTGTAAGTACTAGATATACTGGGCACTGGGGTGTGGCAACCAGATCTCTTCCTCTCTCATCCTGACTTCTGTTTAAAGAAAACTTGAAATTGTCATGGAAATTGGAGTCTTGGCATTTCTCAATAATTTTAATTGATTAATTCAGGGTTGGTAATTGTTGAAAATACTTGTAGTCTGATATCTTTTTAGTGTGCTATATAAAGGAAATAAGCATTCTTAACCAATATTCAGTAGATAAATATTTATATCAGAGCTGATATTCACTTGTTCTTTCAAGTAACACTACTAATAAGATTGAAAGTTTAGTGACCATATGCACAAATGGTGAATGAAGGCATTTTATGGGAGAGTTTCCCAGAAACTTTCTATGTAATGAACTAACCTCACTTTGGGGGCGTAAAAAATATTGCTTCCTCATCTACTTTTAAAAATTCCCATCAAAATTCATTAAGCCACTGCTTTACTGCAGTATTCTGCTTGACTCCAGTAGCTTTTAACCTAATAACCCTTGGAGTCATAAAGTTTCAGTCAAAAAATCCAGAGTTGTCCTTTTATATTGTTTGGGGATTTCTATTTACAAATACAAATTATGTGGTCTCATGCTTTCCAGTGTAGAAGCACAGATACTTTCAGATAATTTCAGTTAGATTTTAAATGTTGGTCAGGAGCTTGCTTTTTCATAAATGGCTGTGAAAATGGTGAAACCAGTGTTGTCCCAAGGCAGATCTCAGATAGGATTTTGAAGGTGATAGTACAGATTTGTTCCAATACACTTGTCAACCTGTCCTTTATAGTGCTGCTTCTAGTAGTGCCAAGACCCCAGGTAACATTGTTTCATGAAGAGACTTCTAAAATCCCTAAAGTTATTCTTAAGAATGGGAAGGAATTCAGATTCTGGAGGGTACTTTTTCATATTGTACTAGTGTAGAGTGTCTTTGTCTCTTTGTAATTTAAATTGTAGGGTAGGAAAACCTTTTTAATTTTATTTCCATTTTAGCTTTGACATTTTAAGCCTCCATCTTTTTAATGTGGAACTTTCTAACTACTTCAGGTGTTTCTATATTTTATAACTTAGCTGCATTTAAAACACCCATTGAATCACTTCAGTATTATTCATTCCTGTATAAACACAGACTTTTTATTAACCACAAAGTGAATTTGATTGCAGAACTGTTTTCAGGCAAATATAAACACAAGTTTTAATCCAGGTATCTCCCTAGCTGAGTTTAGCATGTGACTACAAAAGCACTGGTACAAGGGGACAGGGACATTAGGAAAGGGTATTTGTTTGCGCAAACATGTAGTCTAAAAATGTTCACTGGTAAAAAAGTCTTGCAACCTTAAAGATATATAAATAATAGCCTAACAATTTGTTTGAATGATTCTAAGAAAGTACTCTAGTTTTTAACTGCTTTTATTTTTCTCTTTTTTAGCATGACTTCTCCAGATGCAGTCAGATCTTGCTGGAATACAACAGAGTCGTGTTCATTTCTTTATCCTTACAATGATTATAGTAATGATTTTTGTTTTCAAGTGGAAGCTAAAAATGTTTTGGGTGCATCCTCAACAGAGTGTGTCCCTATATCTTTGCAAAAAATAGGTAATTAAAAAAGAATCAGTAAAGATTTAATTAATGACCTTTCCACATAAAATTCTTCCAACTGGTTGGTGTTACAGCAGTAATTTTCAGCAGTTTCCTTTCTCACCTCTTGTGAGGTGGTAAAAAATGACAGGGTGTTGTTTTCATGCTGTGCAGCATCTAACTGCAACAATATTTCTTTAAGCTAATGTCTGATATATCCATTATAAATGACCAAGTTATTAATTATTGAGAAGTAAAGGCCATATATTCAAACTTTTTGTCAACCAACTTAATTGGTATTTGGACTCTACTTTAACATTTCTGAGTGATACCTGGCTGCAATGGATAGTGATATTATGATTTCTCAAGGGCCACCCATCATATGCTCTCCTATTCTACTTTCTGGTTAGGAATGTTAAAAAAACCCACCTGTTTCAAGTGCAGTAATAATTGCACACAGGAACAATAATAATATTTTGTCTACCTCTTCTCTCTCTATCCTGTGCTTCTCTGTTCATTTTGGTGGTGTATTAAGCAGTAACCCTTATAACTAAATACCTTCTGCTGAGCACTCATCATCAGTCACATCCTTTATTCTTGTATTCAGATCTACTGTACTCATCATTACTTTCCACACTCTCTATGCCAGATATATCTTTTCTCATTGCTAGTCCATTATTTTCCCATCATCTCCTTTATGCTTCTCTTCCCCTCAGATAATTTTCAGCTGAATTCTTTCCTCATCTGCAGTTCAGTCTTGTCTTTGGCATACCAGCTCTGCTTCATTTGTTTTCTCTGCTGTTGTCTCTGGGTAATATTTTTCAGTGCTGATACAAATGAAAGACATCTGCACATCTATTTGAGAGCAGATTTTTGAGTAGAATCACAGAATCATAGAAAGGCTTGAGTGGGCAGGTACACCTTCCACTAGACCAGGTTGTTCAAAATCCCATGTAATTAAATCAGTTATGTATGAACTTTCTCTTACAGATAATTTCCCTTATGTATAATTATGTCTATAATATAAACCATCACATGAATACTCTGATAGGATGTGTGTTACTGGGATAAGGATTTAACTTATTGGAACACATACAAAGAAATTCTGAACTTTTATAGAAGCATTTTCCTCTCTTAATGCTTTTGTTTCTTTATTCTAGAGAAATTTGCCCCTCCTGAAATACTTTCAGTTAAAAGAATCCCTGGTATAAAGCAGTTACTTACGGTAACCTGGAAAATGCCTGAGAAGATTATCCCTTTAAAACATATAATTTGCCAGGTTCAATACAGAAACTTGTATTCAAACTTTACTGTAAGTTATGTAATTTTTCTTTTGCATGGCAGTTTCTTTGTGACTAACTTCTTAATATTATAAGAATTTAAGTAGAAAAAAGGCAACAAGTTGTCTGAAATAATCATAATAACCTTGTTATTTTAGTGGAATGTTATCAGGGGTGCATGATCTTAAGAACATGGTTTGTTTTTCTAGGGTTAATTGTCCTTTCCCTTTTGGTCATTTTCTGTTTTGGTACATATCATGCTTTTCAGTATTACTCTGTGGAAGGATGGAGGATGACCCTTGGGGTCATGCACATGACACATGCAGTCAGTAACAATATTTTGTTTTTCCCTTGCATTCTGGTGTTGAAAACAGCCCTCACTCAGAACCACAGTATTTAAATCTGATTAATATGGAACCATGTTAAATTTATTTTAAAGTGAATGAAAATATAAATTTTGCAAGATGAAAAATAAGGGAAGTTCTTTTCATAGTTTGTCTTTCTGACACTTAAATGGAATTGTTTTTAAAACCCCCAGTATTTGTATATTTCAGATGATCTATTCCTATGGTCTTCAATATGGAAGTGATTGTATTTGTAGTTTTACTGTTTCTTCCTCCAAATTAAAGAACTGACAAATAATCTATTTCTTAGATTGTTTCCTTAAGTTTATTGAACTGAGATGTCTGCCTTGATATTACTATTTTACGCACCACATGTATAATTTTGGGAGAGAAAAATTCATCAAAGTAATAATCAGAGCTTTAGAAACATTTCTAATATTAAAGATGTTTCCTACTAGCATCCTTCTCAGAATTTCAAACATCATTACTGTAAATATGACATACTAGTTCTTGGATTCAGGATTCAGGATGATGGGATGGGCAGAATGGCCCAGGTCCAGTTGGGGTATTAGAAATGGAACTAATGATTGTTTAAAAGACCTATTTGAGATGTTTATCTCTTTGGAGCCAAGTCACTGATGTTCTTGTGACACATTCTATGAGGCCCTTATGTTTTCAACATTTGGAAAGGAACTCAGAGTCCTTGGAGAGCTACAGCTTTATTGTGTATTGTGTCTAGTTTCCAGCACCTACATTAGAAATCACCTGCCTGGGCTTTTTTGCTATCAAATACAGCCTATGTCCATTTGCTTCCTGGGTTCACACCTGCATTTTCACACATACATTTCAGGAGAAACAGGAGCTATCCATGACTAGTAAAGATATAGGAGCTGTTTCTCTGTCAGGACATATACGGAAAAAAACCCAAACAAACAAACAAACAAAATAAAAACCAAACAAAAAAACCCCCAAAACCTTAACTAAAAAATGTTTGCACAAATGACAAGTATCTTTTTGGCCTTTAAAGTCATCTGACCAAACCAGTCTAAATAGTTTGGTGTGAACTGTTTTTACTGAGTGAAAACCATGTGACATATTTTTGTACTTGCATATACTAAATTTCTAAGTTTCTGATTATAATGCCATATCATTGACAGCCTTTTGGCAAGTAACTAAAAGCTAGTACGAGGTGTCTCCAATTCTATGTCAGGTTCTGCCAGAGGTTGATAATAGTTTTGGAGCCTTTTCAATTTTAGATTTGTTGCAGAGTCTGTCACATACAGTGGTTTGGAGACCCCAGAATTCACTCTCGTAGAAGCAGGTGGGTTTTGGCAGCGAGTTTCTTGAGATCAGAACAGACTAAAACCTTCAGTTACATTAGGCAGTGCACTTCCCATTATGATGTTTGTATGAGTGGGTGCCTGCATTTGTTGTAGTTGTTACAGTACAGTCTGCATTGTTATAGACTGATTCACTTTTCATTTGAAGGTTCAACTGATGGAAGCCAAGAATTTCTTCACAGTGTTTTAGCCCTGTTGTGGGTGTTGAAGTGAGTGAGGTTCCTTTTAAGACAAAGAAATGACTCACATTGTCATTACTTTTCTGAATAGATACCAAATAATTTATTTATTATACTCCCATCTTCCTTCATCACTAACAGGCTTCATCTCATTTTTTACGTCTTGGTACCAGAATTTTTTCTTTTCATTTACCTTTTCATTTCAATCCTATGCTGATAATGTTTGGGACAGCCCACAACAACACTACTGTATGGCTAACATCTAGAAGGCCTTGTAACTCAGAAAAGATGAGCCAGACAGGAAAAAAGCACCCAGCTGACTCACAAACTGTGAGGAATCACTGGGGGAATTATTGCTTTCCCCAGGATGCTGTTGTGGGACATAATTGTAGTAATGGCTTTACCGATAACTGCTTGCTTCCCACCGGTGGGAACTGCATTCCTCCAGCAGCTTCTGTGCGCAGCTGCTCTAGAATCACATGTGAGCTGCACGCTGTTCAAACCACAGGTCAGTCAGTAGAGACATAGTTCGGAATCAAGTTTTTCAAACCCTGGAGTTTTACAGGAGGAACAAAGGTGCTACACAGAAAAATGAAGTATAAAACAAGCAATCTTGAGTTTTGGAGGAGTGAGGTGGTTTACACAAAAATTGCATCTTCTAAAGTCATATATCTACAATTCATATATCAATTTCATATCAAATAATTTTTGTTCATGTACCTATTTCCAGGAATTTGTCAATGTCTCACTGAATTCTAAGAAGAATATAGGATCATATAATCTCACAGGTCTGTGGGACTCCACAGACTATTCTGTTGCCATTCGGTGTGTCAATAATGAGTCAACATTTTGGAGTGGATGGAGTGGAGAAAAAAATGAAAGCACAGAAGAAAAAGGTAAGCTGCCTACCTATAAAAGTGTTTTCTGTTTTACTTTGAGGCATTAGAATTTAGTAGGGAAAAACCTGTGTTATGGTGTATTATCCTTTATTGAACTTAGAATCCTGTTGCTTAAACAGAACATATGTATTTTGTTTAAAGATAGAAGAGAAAAACTGAAAGACAACAGCAAGTATTGGAGGAGATTTCAAAAGTGATTCAAACAATATAGGACTAAGGAAGAAAACAGATGGGTAGATACTGAAGAGAGGGAAAATTATAAGAGTATAGATGAAGATTTAACACTGCAAAGTAAGATAGTAGCAGAAAAGAAGTACAGCATGTGTGCTCAATGAAATAAATTATAAGTAGAGAAATCAAAATGCCAGTTTTAAAACAAGAGTAGAAAGTCTCTTCTAGGAGACTCTAGAACTTAACAAATAAAAGTGAGCAGCAGAGAACTTTTGTAAAGAAAGAAGTACCTAATTAGGGAAAAAGAGGCATAGCACTACAGAAGATAAAACTTACTTTTAGTAAGTTTCTCTTAGACTCTATGTTTGAAAACTTTATTTTTTTTCACCATAGTAGAGAACCTTTTGATTGTTTTCATCATATTAAACTATCTTTTTAAAATAGCAACAGATTGCAAGTGGGATTTTTTTATCTTTAAACAGCTTCTGGAAAAGTGGATTTGTGGAGAGTAATTGAGTCTTCACGCTCATCTAGAAATAGATCTGTACATCTTATGTGGAAGGTATATACATTTTTTGTGAATTGGTAATCATATTGATATCCTGTAGCTGATGTTATATTATTTCAGTTTTGTAGGACATATAACTGCCTGAGGCATTTGCTGTTATCAGAGGAAAAATGCTCACTGAACTAGGTTAGGATTGAAAAGGCTTTTGTTTACTGAATGGTAGATGAATAGAGTTTTGTAATCTGTGTGGAAAGGAAGCATTTAATTGTGTTCAGATTACTGGAAAATCTCATTAAAAGTCCTTAAACTGCATTTAAATAATCCAGTTTACAAAACTGTGTTTAAATTCACTTCAATCTTCTAGTAAAGTGTCCAAAGCCTCCTTACATTTCCAATCTCAGCATTTGACTTTTGAAATCCATCAAGGAAATTGTCATGGCTGTCTGTCCTGAAGAAAATACCTTACTTTTCTAAATACAGTATAATAGTTTCATAATTTGATCTTTAATAGAGCATATATTTTTGCTTGTGCAGATAGGACTGCTTAACACTTACTACTGTATGTTTTTTAATAGACATTAAAAAGCTTTCCGCCTTCTGGGAGAATTCTAGGGTACAAAATACGGTATTTTCCAGAAAAAAAGGCTGCACATAAAAGGACACACAACTCTAGTGAACAGAAAATGACTTTATTTTTAAATGAAGAGGCACATATAATATCTGTCACTGCCTATAACTCTGCTGGAGAGTCTCCTGAAGCTATTTTGAGGATTCCATCCACTGATGAAAAATGTAAGATTTCTCAATGTCATATTTTTCTCATTAATGAAAAAATGATTTTTTATAAATCTGTTTAAGTTCTGATGTAGTGGAAGCAAAATTATGCTAAGGACTTCTGTCATATGTATCTACGTATATCTTGTCATATTTTGCCATCATGTATCGTATGTCTGTTAGACAATTATTGTTGGGGGTTTCGTTTTGAGATACAGTTCTTAAGGTATTATTACTTTGTGATGTCTTATTGAATTTCTATTGTATTATTTTCTGATGGTTTTTTTCTTGTTTTAGATTTTTTCCTAACTTTGGACCTCCCAAATAAATTTATGGAATACTACCCAATTCTTTTGCATTCCTTTGTTAGCTCAGAAGATTGGTTACCACAGGGCACTAATGCAGAGTATCCAACAATATCATTCAAAGATATGATAAATAGAAATCTCTAAGTTGTGTTAGTGGAAGCAGGGAGAGAAGCCTTGTGTTTATTCTGATTTCATATGCATTCCCAGAAGTACCCATTCCAACCACTGCCAGGGTTAGCAAGTTGGTCTGCTCTAGCACATGAGTTGCTTTCTGGCTCTTACATTTAATTCTGATACTGCTTTGAGCCTTGTGTTGCAACATCCTGCTGCCAGCCATGATCTGACAGAGAGGTTGTGTTTGACACACTTGAATTAGTTTTAACAAGAGCTGTTCATGATGTAAGTCAAGTGTCCTCCTGGAACTGCTCAATCAAATTCTGCCTAATCAGAAAACTAGATATGTAGATTTAATGTAATTTTGTCCTTGAGGTTATTGACTACTTCCCTATCCACTTTTGCATCACACTTCAAAGGTTTTTCTGATTTTTCCATGCTGTGATGTGCTCCCCCCACCCCAGATGCATCTCTTTTTATCCTGTGCTTCATCAGGTCCTTTTTTTGCTTCTGTTTTTCTGTTTTTTGTTTCACTCAGACCGTCATTACCTCTATTCTGCAGGCTGATGCAGAATTCACCTTTGCTTCAGTGTCATTCTTGACCGTGCTGACTTGGTATCCCATTCTATTGCCTTTGTCATCTCAATCAAAGTTACTTATGAGCTACCTGCAAAATGGGTAGTAATTTGGTTTATAGAGTTTTCCACACTACAAGATTTGGATTCTGAAAGAGAGGCTAGTTCTTGAATTCTGTATGTGTTTTTCAAGCATTTTTGAAGACAAAATTGCTGATATTTTCTGTTAAATTTTTAGCCTCTCAGATGATTGAAAAAGTGGTGACCTCTACAACAAATGAAGAAGTGGTGGTGCAATGGATAACCTCTGAACCAGAAACAACCAAATATGTGGTTGAGTGGTATGAGGAACTGGACATGGACCCTTTTGGTAGATCATGGCAACATGTATCAAATTCTACAAAGTGGAAAAATAACAAAAGTATGTTTATCAGTTACAGCTGTAACAATGTACAGATGTACATGTATTTATAGGTAGATTGGAAAGAATAAACAAGGATGAACTCATCCACCTTCCCTCAGACTGTTCTTAAACATAGTAGTATTACTACATGCTTTGTTGAAATCTCTGCTGCTAATTTAATAGCATTTTTTTAGTCTTAGAAATTTTCATGCAACATGCAAGGCAGTGCTTGCTCTCATATAAGATTCAGCTACAAAATTTGTGTTAAAGAAGTTCTGTGGCTTGATCTTACACCAGTAGGGAGGCCTGTGACTGATGTGGCTCTTCTATCAGAGAAATCTGGAACTAAAAAAAAAAAGATTGAATATGGGAAAAGCTCATGCTCCTTCATGTGTTTTAGAGAGAGGACATCATAGTCCTCCATAAGTTGCAGGGGGACAGCCTGCTTCACCATGATTTTCACTACAGGTTACAAAGGAATCTTTACATTCCCTGTTCCAGTATAGGTTCCCACCTATGGGAGACAGTCCTTATTTAACTTCTTTGACCTGGGTCCTTCCCACTGGCTGCAGTAACTCACAACTGCTCAAGTATGGCTCCCCTGTGAGGTGACATTCTCCTTCAGGTATCCACCTGCTCCAGTGTGGAGTCCTCCACAGGCTGCAGGCTCTAGTGAGAATGATGCCACATGGTCTGGAACCTCCCTTTGCTCAGTGGGGTCACCTGTCCTGCCTGTGTCTCCTCACAGGCACCCCCAGGCCCCTCACCACCATGGCAGTAGGAGAAGCAGAAAAGGTTTTGGCTCTGTGTGAGCCCTGCTCAGCCACAACAAAAACATCTCTGTACTGTCAGACCTGTGCTCAGCACTAATCCAAAGCACAGCCCCATGCCAGCCACTGGGAAGAAAATTAACTCTACCCTAGCTGAAACTAGTGGGGGTAATGGATATATAATGGCCATTGCATAAGGTGTAAGGGACTGAAAGAGCAGCAGAAAGCTGATACAATGCAGGAATCTGTTGATAGCCATTATTCTCACTGAGCAAGCTGCAGAGCTTGAGATGCATGATCTAGAAATCCCTTTACACTGGTTTCATTCCAGGGGTTGTAAAGCTACAGATATGTCCTCCCAGAGCTGATGTGAGTTGTTGTAAGTATTGGGTGCGCCTGGTTGATTACTTGGCTTCTGGACTGTTCAGAGTTCAAAACTTAATTTCCAGAAGCTGGAACTCTGTCTTGAAACATAAAAGTCTACTGGACAGATCTCACTTGCGACAACTGTGCCCTTGAGTTTGGCTGGTCAGAAGATCTGCAGTTGGCATGACTAGAACAACAGTGTAGAAATTCTAGAATAATAGAACATTCTGTGTTGTAAGTGGCCCAGAAGAATCACTGAAGTCTGACTCCTAGCCCCTGCCAGGAGACCCCCAAAATCACAGCATGTATCTGAGAGCATTGTCCAAACCCTTCTTGAACTTCACCAGGCTTGGTGCTGTGACCATTTCCCTGGGGAGCCTGTTCCAGTGTCCAGCTACCCTCTGGGTGAAGACCCTTTTCCTAATATCCAACTTAAGCCTCCCTGACATGGTTACTTGCCATTCCCTTAGGTCCTGAGTGTTAAGAGTGGGGAACCCCACTGCTTTTTAATCTGATGCATGAGAAAAAGTTGTCTCCTGCAAAGCAGTAAACATAAAGATATGTGAAATTAAAAATGCTACCTTCAAGTGTACTTTTATACCGGTTATTTGAAAATAGAGACTTCCTCTGAAACCATAGAGGGTTTCAAGATGAGTAAATGGATTCATATAGGGAAGTTGTATTATGCTGAAGTATAATTACCCATTCAAACTTTTCCTAATGAAAAATAAACCATGTGCTCTTACAAATACTAATGTGAAAAAAAATGTGTTAAAGCCAGTAATGAGCATTCAATCAATAATTGCATATTGTGCTTACTAGAGAGGTGAAGCAAATAGTAACACTATATTCAGAATTCCTTTGTGATGCAGTCTATTTTCATTGTATTAATAGCACATGGAGATTGTATGTAAATATGGTTTTCTTTCCTTTATAGAAAATTTTAAACCATTTGTATGCTATAACATCTTGGTGTATCCTCTTTATGGAAGTAATGTAGGAGCTCCATCTTACACACAAATCTATGCTCAAGAAAAAAGTAGGTATTTTAAAGTAATCATGTTGTGAAGTGTGTATTGTTGTCTGTTTCACAGGATGTATTATCTTTGACTGATTTGGTACTATCATTATTTGAAAAAGAGATGGAGGTGGTGAAAATCCCCAGGTTTCAGGGTTCCTAATTTCTGTTCTGTTCAGCGACAAAATTTGTCTATAAGAAAGTATTAATCTTGTGATACAGGTATATTGCTGCTTGCACCCACTAACTTTTTGTGAAGCTTACATATTGTATACAAAGCATTTGGAAAGACTATAGCTACATGAAACATGAAAGTATTTTTTAAACTAGCTATCGCTTTAATGTTTAAAAGCTCATTTAAATGATATATAATTATACTTGATTTTAAAGCTTGACTACATTTGTCAGCCGTAATATATGAGGAAATTCCACTCATAAAATAAAATGGCTGATTTGAAACGCCTACTTTTTGTTAGATTTTATAATGTAATAAAATATTTGCAGTCTTGCACATACAAAATGTTAAGAAGACATGATGTTTGTAATTGGAAAGACACTTTGGATGAAGTGTTTTGCAGGGGAAGGGGTAAAGTTTCTTTATTTGTAGAAATTTAGTGTGAATTCACTGATTTATACAACCAGCTATAAGCATGTATTTTACCAGTAATTTTAAGATACCATGTGAAAATATTGATTGGTGTGTGTGTCTATGCAAATGTGCATGCATACACAGTACAATGCACCACTAAATAACATAACTTACTTGGGGGGGGCAATGGAGTATTTTATGTTTGTGTAATAATTACTCATACAATGTGCTGGTGCTGTGTTTAAGTGCTTTCCTGTTTATAGGTAGCTGTGATAACACTCAAGGTTGTTAGAGAATGGGAAGGAAATTTTAAAACTGCAACACAGAGCCCTCTTTCTTCAAAAAGTCACCACAAAGTTATGAGCAATGTATGTGAGGTGGTATTGTGTAAGCAGAAAGGCTTTGTTTAGTGTGATGGGCAAGGCTGAGGATGCTGCAGGGGCAGGAGATGCCACAGACCTGCAAAGGCAGTGGCCTTGCACCCGAGTCAACCCCAGGAGTGCACAAAGGATAATTTTCCTCTTGACCTCTCCCTGGTGTTGTAACAATAAAGCCTTTTAGTGGTCTCTAAGTATTTGAATACAGTAACACCTAAAACTATGCAAATGCCAGAATAGGTGAGGGGAAGTTTTATCAGAAAAATTCCTACATTAAAGAGAGTGAGAAAAGTTAAGGAGTGTATCAGAGCACTAAGGTTGGTATTTTTTCATGCATATGTTTCCCCTAATGTTACTGATATGTGTAAAATAACAGAGGCAGATAACACTGTGGTACATTGACTATTTTACTACTTTTGCTATTTCATAATGCTTCTCTGTAGAGCCGTCAGAAGGACCTGTGGCTGATACAGGCATTCTGGGGAAAAATGAAGTTACAATTAAGTGGAATGAGATTTCAAAGACTAAAAGAAATGGGTTTATCACTAACTATACAATATTTTATAAATCTGAAGATGGAAAAGAATTGCGTAAGTACACATTAAACATTAAACACATTAAACAACAATACTTCCAACAGGGTTATGAAATTTTCAATCTCTCTTCTATTTTGACCCACCTTTAAAGTCAATTAAAAAAGTTATGACAGGAAGCTAAAATATACTGGAGAATCACAGATTCTGTGTAAAGTCATGTGATCATAAGGGTTCAGTGAATTTATAAGTTTCATGCATGTCCTTGGAAGGATCCACCTTCAGCTTGTGGAAAAGTATGGTGGAAACGGTCTCTTAGTATTTTTGCTGTCAATTTTATATTAAAAGCAAATTTGGAAATAACAGTAAAATAAGCTGCCAAGGAATAGTTTCTATGGACATCATTTTAGATCAGTTTCTTCAGATGTGTATGATTTTCTGTGCTTGCCATTGCTTTTCTGGTCTGGAGGCTGATAGCATAAATTTAAGCATACTCCTAATCTCTTCCTCAGGAATAGTGTCCATACAATCTGGCAGTGTAATGCTATCTGTCTAAAACTTCTTTAGTTTAAATCTCAGCAGAAGCTTTCATGAAAAGTGTTTGGGTGACCTAAACTTTTCTTCCTATATAGTTTATGAAGAAAGCTGTTGGATCATTCAGTGCTTCAGAATTAGTTTTTCCCCCCCTTCTTTAGACATTAAATTACTCAGAAACCAACATAATAGGGAAAGCTCTGTGCAGATTACTAAATCTCACAGAAATAATTAGTTTTCTCTTTCACATTTAAAATTTACCAGGAATTGCCCTGGTCTGAACTGGATAGCCATAAGAAACAAGCATCACAAGATTTGTAAGTCTGAAAACTTTGCAAAAGAGATTGTGTTAGGTGCATTGTTATCAGGAACCTATTATGTTGGTTTCTGAGTAATTTAATGCTGACTGCTTTGTGCAGGATCATCTGTGAGACATGGAGCCTCATGTTACAGAGCTGTATTTCTCCATATTACTTGTAATGTAAAGCAGGCTGTGTCCCTTTTAGGACTTCAGATTATTTTATTTAGAAAATTATTTGTAAATAACAACGCAAGAGAGTTAAATGGCAAAATGTGTTATACTGATGCTTTTTGAGGCTTCTCTGATGTCATGTGTTCTTGATAATAGTAGGATGTGGGGGTGTGTGCCAAGGTGACCACTGATGGCCTTCTAGCACTAGAGCTTCACTTTTCCTCCCTTGACTTGCGAGAAACTCAGTTTATTTTAACTTGGGACGTATTGCAGCAGAACTATTTCCTGGGTGTTTCTTGATAGAACTGACTGAGGAAATAAGCTGACTTTGACTTTATGCACCAGAAAATGTTTTAGTGACTGTAATTTCTTATATGAAGATACATTTGGTGCTATTAGTAGACATAAGATTCATACCCTGCTTAAAAAAATGTAAAGGGCAAGCACATTACATTAACTCCAATACTGGAGAATGTATTGGAAACACTGAGTTCTATCCATAAAAGAAGTTTGAAACTTGGAAAAAAATTCCTTTTGATTTTGACTTTCATTTGACTTTACTGGGGTGATATCCCAGTGCTGATAGATGACATTATTTTTGATGATCAGTGTTTAACTGTGTATAGCAGAAATATAGTTGAATTTCACAAGCTACAGAAATGATTTGAAGTTCTGAATTTCTGAGCCAGCTATTTTGAGGAAAAAAAGTTCTCAAAGCAGTGTTTTCAGTGATAATCTGCAGGAGAACATAGTTAATCTATCTTTTATATTAGCAAAAATATTTGTATTTGTTTTTAAAAGTAAATATGTAATGGTTCAGGTTTTTGCCTCAAACTTTTAAGTAGTATTGATAAATATTGTTCAGCAATTTAGGTTTTGTCTTTTAAAGGACTGGTAAGGTTGCTTTGTATTTCAAGTTACCTTTAAAATAGTTTGTATCTGTTATTGTAGAAGTTGCTAAATAATTGTACAGTTCCCTGATATAACATTACTTTTGTGTGTTTACATATATTTTCTCCTAAAAAGATGAAACAGTAAACTCTGATGTTCTACAATACAGACTGAAGTCCTTACAGGCTAATACACAATATACTGTTCAGATCATGGCAAGCAACAAAGCTGGTGGAACCATTGGAGAGCCAAAAACCTTCAAGACTTTAAAATTGGGTAAGTAATAATCCAGGTTATTCTATTTTAAAAAATGGGCTTGGAAGTTAGAAATATGGGACATTGTTGTCTAGGCATTTGTTAACTTCTGTTTGTTTTTTAAGTAGTGTTGAACCAAACAAGGAAGAATTTGCAACAGTAGTTGAATTTAACTTAATTTCAGTGACAAGCTCACAGACTAAAAAAACCCTCAGAATTAGAAGTCAACCCCAAAATCTTTATTTCCTTGTCAATAAAGCAGTGTAGTACTATTTGTGAAAGCAGCAGTATGTATGCTATCAGCTATGTGATGAGATGCCTAACAGTTCATTAAAAAGTAGGCTTTTCCATCTGCGAGATTTACAATAACCACACATTTTGTTGCACCTGTTCTGGTATATAAGCTTAACTGGTAAACAAGTGTAGAGGTTGTGGCCAGTGAGTCTGTAGGGAAATACCTTTTCCTATTTTGTACTACTTGTTTTAGCCAGATTTGACAAAGTATAATGACAACAGATCAGAAGCTCAGACATTTAGACATTTCCTCATTTCAACTGCAGGAAGAATGTTCTCAGTATATTCCTAAATGCCTCCAGCACTCTGGTACTTGAAAATTCGCTCAGAAATCTGAGCAGTGTTTCAGTCAGATTAACTGTATTTTTTTTGTGTGTGTGTGGTTTAAAATCTTATCTTCTGTGCTCAATTTGCTATTTATCTTTTTGTAACTGATATAATTGTCATGGACCAGCAGATTTAGGTGAGCTTAAAATAATAGGTGACCAAAAGGTGCTAGACCCTTCCTCCTCAATTGCTGTCAAAGGTTGGCATGGTATGACCCTAAGCAGCCTGATCTAGGTTTAAAGTTGCATGAAGTGATCTACAGAGATCCCCTCCAATCAAAGTTACTTTGTGATTCCGTTAAATAAAGGAAATTTTAAAATGTGATAAGTCTGTTTCTATAACATCCTGAAGAGTCTCATCATGACCTGGTTTTCTGGCTCAGTAACTGTGGCTTGTTGGATTCCAAATACCCATCTTTTGACTTGTCATAGAATGGGTATCCTACAGTATTCTGAGTAATTTTGGCTAGTTTTGACTAATTAGAATTGTGCTAAATAAGCAAATTGGATATTAAAAATTATCTGTTTTAAAGGAATACTTGAAGAAATGACAATGTGGACTAATTGGTGTTTTGGGCTTTCTTTCTTTGTTTTTGTCTAAAGATAAAGAAGATATCTTTTTTATTGCTATACCTGTTGAGATAAGCATTTTGTGTCTGATAGGCCTTTGGATAACGTGTGTTTTGAAAAAACACGTGTGAGTATATTTTCTACTGTCTAAAACTGAATGCAACCATTTAAAATTATGGAAAAATGTATAATGGGATTTTTTATTTATTTTATAAATGCCTTTGTTGTGTTCAAAACCAATGTCTAAAAAGAAAACAAGCAATTGAAGTAACAAATAAGTAATTATACAGGTTATACTTTCACTGCAGTTTATGTGCTATAGTCCAAAAATAAGTACTAATTTTAGAAAGTTTAGTAAATTGAAACAAAATAAATGAGAGAAACAGATTTACATATCACCTACATCAGTTTTTGTAAAATGCTATGTACATGCCATTTGCAGTTCCATGATCATTTAAGTGAGGGAAGCAAACTTAAAGTCAGTTTCTGAAAAATTAATAATTCCAGGAAATAAAGCTTTCTAGACACTTTTAATATGCTAGAATGGTACTAGGACATATTCCACACAGCCTCTATTGCTTATCTTACCTATGAATATGACTTTTATTAGTTTGTGATACCTCCCTTGAGCTGCAAAGGAGTAAGAAAAAACCTAGAAATTGCATTCTGTGAAAACATTTGGATCTTGATCATTGAGTATGGATATGTATTGATTATGAATTGTATTGATTATGGATCATATGACTATGAATCACATGATTCATAATCTTTTCATCTCACGGCTGTCCCCTGACAGATTTGAATTTTTTTTTCTTAGCATGGGGATCCAGTAACATTCCAAAGGTGACTGTAAGGCTTTTTTTAAAGTTATAAAATATTTTCACAAGAAAAGTGACTGAGTTGTTTGGCTGATAAGAAGGTTAAAAGTCTGGACTATTTTCTAGTTAAAGGGGCACTCTAAGCTATTGGAATAAAAACTGCTGTTATGTGGAGAAGCATTAGGTAGTAAGTACAACTGAATCAATAATTTCCGTCCCTTTCACATCTTAATTTGTGTTGAGTATACTGAATTTTTACAATAGTAAAAACTATTTTTTGATTCTGAAGGATACTTAGAGATGGAGTAGAATGTTTATATTCTTGTTTAGATAAAATTGTCATTTGAAAAGTCAAGCTAAGGACTGGTTTTCATTCCCTTGCCTCTCTGCCCAGTGTCAGTGAGTGATTAAATGAGTGAGCATCCTTTGTCTGCTGTTAATTTAGGATCTCAGTATAACTCTAATGTGGTCTAGTGCTAGGGTCGCTTTCCTTGAACAAAGGTAACCTGAGGTGGATTTTCACAGAAGAAACATCCTGAAAAATGATTGCAACAGTATACTGACAGTCTTATTTTGGCATGCTCTTATTTAATATAATATTTAATTGAGTAATATAATATAATAACACATAATATATGATAAAATATAAAATGGCTTTTCTGCAATGTCTCTGGAACCCAAGAGATCTTGTTGAGATCTTTTGTAATAAAAATCAGTGTACAGGAAAGCAGTTTTATTGAAAAATATTGTGTTAATGTAGAAGATACTTCCTTTCTGAAAGTTTGATACTTCAGCAGTATTTGGAATTTCTGGTGATTTGTTGATTCTTAAGAACCTATTTCTTTCATAATTTGGCTAAAATTCCTTTCTCAATTACAGGTTTAAAAAGGTTTGCTGGCCTGATATACCAAATCCTGAAGAAAGCCTTGCAGTGGAATGGCCACTTGCTTCATCTGTGGTAATAGCTGGAATTTTATGCATTAAAAAAGGGATCAAATGGAGAGAAATCATTTTCTGGCAGTCATTTTAGTAATCAAACCCATCAACCCCCCTCCCCCCTCCCTTTGGAGCCTTTGTTGAGTTCCATTCTTCTTCTTAAGTGCTACAAAATGCTCTTTGTAGTATTCTAAAATAATAGAGAAGATGCATCTTCATAAAGTTTATTAATCTAATTCATATAGGACATTGGGAATTAATGTTTTAAAGTGACAAAGTGGTAGGTGGACATGGTTCATTTGAGTAAATTAAATTTGCACAGGCTATTGAGGTTTCCACACCTGCATGCCTCCTCTCTTCTCCACAAAAAAAGTATTACAGCATATAGTAATATTTGGTATATTCTTGTATTGCCAGTTCTGTCTTTTTTTTTTTTTAATATTTATTCCTTATTAAAGTTTTGATGTTTATTTGAATGGAGTGAAGTTTACCAGGTTACACAAAAGTGCAATTTGTGGATAATGGGATTTATACCTTTTACTCAAAAAGGTCTGGTTAGATGAGAAAAGATGGACACAATCCAAACCTGATTCTGAGCCTTCGCTGAAATCCATAATTTCATTAAGTATAGAAAACCTAATATGAAAGTGTTTAATGGAAATGGACAGAATAACATTGCCTTTTTTAGTACTCATTCACATGTAACTGCATCCCATCTGAAAAGCACGTGAATTCTTTACTAGTGCAAGTCTGAAATTGCTAGTTAAACAGAGCTCAAATAGCAATAATTTATTAAAAAATGAACAGATACATTATCTATCCCTTTATAACATTCCAATTTATCTCTTTGTATTGACAGAATAATTCATTTTTGAAGAGAATGTCATCTCAGATGAAAACTGTAGACTTTGAAGACATAAATGTTTTGGAATATTGTTTTCCTGAAGAAAGTCAGGAAGGATCACTACTAATAAATTATGAAAACTGTGTTTCTGAATGTACTATTATTAATACAAAAGGCACAACTAACAGAGATGAAACGATACTGCATAACAAAGAGAACAAAACTGCTAAAAGTTTCCCACCATCTATGCCTTATATAATTACTGATCAATTTACCAGAAATCAAATGCATTTAGCTTTGACACCACTGAAAGAAGTTCAGCCCATAGAAGTGGTGGCAAATGATATATGTGGATCTCAGCAGAATCCAGTTAAAAATGAAGAAAACGATGATGAGGAAGTTTTAAAGCTGGAAGATTTCAGTGAAAAAACACTGTTCAATCCATATCTTAAAAATTCAGTTAAAACAAGGGAATTTCTTGTTTCTGAGAGCTCGCCAGAACACAGTATGGATGAATGCAAAAGCCAGTCAAGCGTCTTATCTCCTATTAAACCAAATGCTCCAGAACAATCCTACATAACAGTGGACATGTTCAGGCTGGCCAAAGGTCAGTAGCATGAGAGAGTTCCATCATAAAATCCCTCTGAGATATCCCTTGGCACTGCTGCTCACAGGCATTCACATGTTCTAAGGTGGCTGATCTCAGTTAATTCAGATGGGAACATCCTCTTCCTTCAAATAGTTGTGAAGTAATTTTTTACACTCTGTGTGTACACATCAGAGTTCACTTTCAGTGTGGATGTTTTAGGTTTTTGTTGTTTTGTTGGGGTTTGTTTTGTTTTGTTTGGTTTGGTTTGGTTTTTTTAACCAAACATGCCAGTAATGAGACAAAAAGAAATAGCTTTTGTTATTTCTTCTTAGCTCTCCTATCTCAACCTGCTAGAACAAACTGATATTTGCTGCAGGAGCATCCAGCGGTGCAAGCAGCTCATCTCTCTCCCAACACAACCAATTCCCAAGGCTCACCTCTGATGGGGAAACATGGGCAGACTTGAACAGAGTCAGAATCTGCCGAATCCTTCCCTCAGTTACATGGAGCAGAACTACTGTCCTGTTCTTATTTCCCTTAATTGTTTATCATCTAGTTTTATATATCATGTTCCTCTTGTTTTACTACTTTCTAGATTTCAGGAGTTGTCTCTTTGTATCCTGACTCTTGAAAAAATAGTTTGGCATACAGTTTCTTGTCTTTAATGAGAGTATATTTGCTATGTTATCTGCATTTTGGAAAATGTGTTATGCTTGCTATGTTGTTTCCTTTCCTTTCTCATGGTTTTAATAGTCCTCAGCATTTTGTGCTGTTTGTTTTTGTTTCTTTTCTTTTTTCCTAAAAACAAATAGGAGAAACAAAGACTTAAAACTGCTTATTGAGGAATAACTTCTTACCTTCTTGTTCTGTGCTTCTAATTTGTTTCAGTTTAAAACTGTGTTTCTCAGTTGAGATTTTGATATTTTGAGCTGAAAAAAAAATCTACTAAATATGTCATATTGTGTTAGAATAAACACTGTGTTAAGAAGTAATTTTTCAGGGAAGTAATGAAAAAACACTAAGTATATAAAATCTTCCCAGATCTCTGGTAATTGATTTAGGATTAGGTATTTCTACATGAAGGATACAACTTTTATAATTTGTTTTATGGTTTTGTTAAGTCATAAATCTAATTATAGTTTCCATTTTACAAATCAGCAATTAAGTAGTAAAACACTCAATCACACTAATTTTTTAACAAGAAAGAGGCCATTATTGTATAACTCTTAGTGAAATACTCTGCTGAAAAGCAATTTTAAAAAGATAGAGTCAAATGAATTGTATTAGAAGGGGGTGTTCAGTTTGACACATATGGGGTATATGGCAATTTTAAGACTTTTTACAGTGTTTAGAGGCTTGATGTCATCAGTCTTGTTTACACAGGATTATAGTTTGCACAGTTACAGATTTCTTCCAGGGTAAAAAAAGATACAGGAGTTATGGGGATAGAAAAATGAGAGACAAATGTGAATAGGATTAGAAAGTGTTCCCTTTCTGTGCAGAAAGAGGAGTAGAAGAATTGAAAATATATTGTAAGCATGAATGAGGAGGCTGAGCCTTTCCTTGGATGCAGTGGCTATTACTTGCATTGCTTTGGTGAAAACAGTGTAACATTTTGCATTTAGGATCTTTTTCTATAGTTTGGAAGCTGCTTTAACTTAAACAATGTTCCTCTAGTTGCCAAGAAAGGATGGGAAAACAATTTCTGCAAATGTTCCTTAGCCAGCAACACTGATTTCCATGTTTGTTGGATCACTTTCTCAATCACAGTGCTCCAAGATGAAATGCATATATGTTTGCTCTTATAAGCCCTTGCTCACTTAGGTAAGTCCTACTCTGAAATTAGGACAAAGGTTTGGTTAGGTCAGTGCTTTTTTCCTGCTTTTTCAATTGGTTCTAGACTTCTCACTCACAGCAATGTTGTCTTCCCTGGGCTCAGAACTCACTTATTCCATCACAGTAATATTTTTCTTAAATCTCAGTGTTTGTTTTAATATCACAATATATAAAAATAAACACATGCAGAGATATTTTGGGCCTTTCTAGGAATTGTTTAGCAGCCATATGAAGGCTAAATATTCTGAGTTGTGTGTTTGAGACAGGTAAAAAGTGAAAATAATGCAACCTTTAAGGGATCATTAGAAAGGGGAGGTTCATGCTGTGTGACTTGGCTAGGTTATCCTTGTAGCAATTCTTAGGTTCTGGAGGATAAGTATATCCTTCTTTTTTATCACACTTTATTTCCTTCCCTATTGATAGGCTACTTTCCTCTCCTCATTTTTCTACTTCCCTTTCCCATTATTTTCTCAGAAAAAGCAAAATGCTGGAAGTGGGCTCAGTACATTCCAGAAAGTAAGGCTGCCTTTTGCATGTGTTTTGGAATGAAAGCTTCTTGTACTTGGTTTATTTTACAGTAAAAGTTGTACTCTTTCTTACCTTTTGCAATTTGTCTTTCAAACTACACTGTGAACCATTAAAAAATTAAAACTGAACAAATGTGTAATTTTTTTTTATTTACACTGAATGCACCATTTAGACATTTTAGATTTTCTTATACATATAGAATAGGTCTAACTTTGGACTGCTGTGAACTGTTTATAGGAAGAGTGAGCTTTAGTCATAGTATTTTCCTACAGCCACAATTTGAGTTGGTAACTTCCTTTGAATATTCAACAACAAAAGTATTATTCCACTTGGGTTTTTATTCAGGCAAGAAAAATAAGTTTCCAAGTCAGTTTGTTAATGAAGCAGGTACTTATTAGACAGCACTAATTCCTGGGGGCAGACAGCAGTTTGAAAAAATCAAGAGGAGCTCAGCCCAGCCACAGCTGAAGACTAATTGGCATTTCTTGGGATGCACCACCACAATCCACCCCATGACTAAAGCCAGCTTCTCTGGGCATGCTACCCCAGACAGCACTACAGCCTTGGGTCAGAGTGGCTGGAAAGCTATCCCATGGAAAAGGGCCTGGGGGTGCTGGTGACAGCAGCTGAACATGAGCCAGGGTGTGCCCAGGTGGCCAAGAAGGCCAATGCCATCCTGGCCTGGATCAGCAATGGTGTGGCAGCAGGACCAGGGCAGGGATTGTCCCCCTGTGCTGGGCACTGGTGAGGCCACACCTCGAGTGCTGTGTCCAGCTCTGGCCCTCACTGCAGGAAAGACACTGAGGAGCTGGAGTGAGCCCAGAGAAGGGCAATGGAGCTGGGGAAGGGTCTGGAGCACAAGTCCTGTGAGGAACAGCTGAGGGAGCTGGGGATGTTTATCCTGGAGAAAAGGAGGCTCAGAGCTGACCTTATCACTCTCCACAACTGCCTGAAAGGAGCCTGTGGCCAGGTGGGGGTTGGCCTCTTCCCCTAAGAAGGAAATGGTAGGATAAGAGGAAATGGCTTCAAGTTTTGATAGGAAGGGTTTAGAGTGGCTGTTAGGAAAAACTTCTCCACCAAAAGGCTTGTCTTGCACTGGGCTAAGCTGCCCAGGGAAGTGTTGAAGTTACCAACCTAGGAGTATTTAAAAGTTATGCGTGTGTGGCTCTTGGGGACATAATTTAATAGTAAACTTAGGTTCATAATGGGTTAATAGTTGGACTTCATGATTTTACAGGTACCTTCCAACCTAAAGAAGTCTATGACTATAGAGGGCATATTCAAAACATAATCCACTTTATTGATGTTACTTTTTCCCACAGGGCAGAAAGGAGCTGAGAACTTAATGAGATCTGAAATCTAATCAGAGTTTTTGTAGGTGCAGCCACACATACCATTCCTAAACACAAAGATTACATTAGAATTACCTCTGTGCTGTTCTAACCTACTCAACACACTCATTTCTTGCTTGTTCAGAGCTTCTTTTCAGCTAGTTGTGCATTTCTTGTATTAGTATCTGATCTCCCCTCCAGCTTCTTGTCTCTCTAATGCCCCTTCATTCTTCATTGTCTCCTTCTGTCTTGTCTTCCCTTACATGAGGAGCTGTTCAGCTGCCATATGTTATGCATCCTTGCTGTGAGAAGAAAATATGTTGCACGTGCACAGTTAAAGAAAGTTGAAATGCACTCTCTTTCTCCAGCATTTGCAGAAGCAGAGAACCTCCAGATGCAGACTTTTAAGAAAAGGAGAGGAGCTGGCCCTGTCACTGCTGCAAGTTGGTGTAGCTTCATCAGAAGGGATGCAGTTATGCAGATATATACCTACATCATGTGCATATAGATACATACATCTATGTAACTACACTGATTCCTTTGAGAACTGGCTGTTGAACTGCTTGTGTACACCTGAGTATATCCATGTGTGTACGCGCCTGAGCCCAGACACAGTGAGGTGTCATAATTAACCTAGCTTGTGCTGAACTGCTGACAGAGAAGGAAGGAGTTTATGTGATTTATGTTGATGCATCATGTAATTCACCAGCACACATGGCATTACAGTCTGCTTCAATGCTGGGATCTTCTGTTTTGCATGGACTCTGGCATAAGAGTCCACAAGGTCCTGGATCTTGCTCAGAAACCCTAAGCTTGTTTGTGCTGTATCTGTTGATTTAGATTGATGTTCCTTGCTGCTGAGTTTAGTGCATGAGAAGGTGACTGGCTCCCCCCATTCGCAGTTTAGTGTAAACAAACACTTGGACATTGTGGATGCTCAGGAAGCTTTAGACACATAGAGGCCTACAAGGCCAGAGCTTCATGGTAGGAATATCATCCATTGCTTGCTCCCATGATACAGGTAATTGTTAAGATCAGTAGTAAGATGATAACTTTGATGCCTTGTGATTGCAGCTATGCTAGGCAAGGCAACTCTCATGGTTGAGTAGACCTGTGCAAACACAGCCACCGTAGGGTATTAACACTGGACTAGATATCATACATTTTAAAATGACACTGAAGGGCTGGGCGAAAAAATGTCAGAGACCATGCTCTTTGCAGCCTCAGATGAACTGTAGTGCACACATTGTGATGTGGTCATGAAAGTGAGGCTTGGTCTGGTGTCTTTTTGCAGATGAATCGTACCATATACTTTGGCCTTACGTTGGCAGGGATTAGAAATATCACAAGAAAAGATAATGAGCCAACTGAAGAATAAAAAATTCATGCTCCTTAGGATTGCAAGGGGTAATTTACAAATATTTATTCAATAGTTTCATCCTTTGCTAGTAGCTATTCTGAAACAGATAAGATATCCTTCTAAAGGTCAAAAAAAATACACAGAGCTTACATAGCATAAAATATTTAAGGCTATATGAAAGCTCCTTGTAAACAGATGAAATGGATACTAATTTAAGCTAATGTCTGAGTTGCTTTGCTCTGGCATCAATCTGCTGCAAAGACAGTGAAAATTTTGTTCTACTGGTCTGTGTTAATGTTTGGCATATTAATAACAGGAAGCAAGGCACATTCTCACTGCAGGTGAATCTTGAGCCCATAAGAATTTGAGCTTATTGCAAGTAAAGGTAGTTGTTAACTGCAGCCTCTTCTCTCTCCTTGCAAAACAGAAGTAAAATATACAGACATCTTGTGGTGTTTCTGTAGAAAGGCTGGAAATTGCCTTGCCTTTCTTACCTACTCTTGCCTCCTTGCATAACTAAAGGAATTTATATGTCCTGTGAACAAAGGATGACATTTGTAAACAGAGCTGACAAAAAATCATTAGGCATTGTTTTATTGTTTTTGTAGCATGACTTGTTCTTAGTCATACTGTTTATTAGACATATTTATTCCAAAATACTGTTATTAATTCCAAAATACTTCTCATATACATGTTGTGTTTTGCAGTCTCAGAATTATGGAGAAGGCTCTGAGCAAAATATTGTCAATTTCATCTGTTACATCTTTCTTTCTTCTACTTTGCATGATTTTTCTTCTCAGTATTTGACAAAAAAATTTATTATTGGGGTGAACTTGGACTAATTTGCCTGCTCTTTTACTGGGCTTTCTAATGATTATTTTGTTTGCCTTTTTTCTCAAGAGTAAATAATCATTTTACTGCTGCCTGACTATTTAAT